TTGTTGCTAGCTGTAACATGTAACATGTAATAAACTATTTAATTTTTACATGTTACAGCTAGCAACAAAATCGGAAATTGTTATATTTTGATAGTACGATGCTTGCAGATTATTTATATACTAAATTCATGCGGGCAACAATTTCTGGAAGGATTTTGAAAAGAACTTAGAGCGCGCGGCGCGGTCGGTCAGGATAAACTAATTAATTTTTACATGTTATAACTAGCAATAAAATCGGAAACCGACTTTTTTCGATAGTACGATGCTTACAGATTATTTATATACCAAATTTATGCAAGCAACAAAATCTGGAATGCTCGGACAAGAAAACTTAGAGCTCGCGGCGCGATCGGGCGGGATAAACTATTTAATTTTTACATGTTATAGCTAGCAACAAAATCGGAAACCGACTTTTTTCGATAGTACGATGCTTACAGATTATTTATGTACCAAATTTATGCGAGCAACAAAATCTGGAACGCTCGGACAAGAAAACTTAGAGCTCGCGGCGCGGTCGGGCGGGATAAACTATTTAATTTTTACATGTTACAGCTAGCAACAAAATCGGAAACCGACTTATTTCGATAGTAAGATGCTTGCATATCATTTTTATGTCAAACTCAGTGCGAGCAACTAATTTTATTAGTGTCATTGTTTGAATACGGCGGTGCAGTGCTGAGTGCATATAATAATATTTCTTAAAAAATGTTATTTTTTGTAAATGTTTTAACACTATCTTGGAACAACAAAAAAGCAACAAAATCTGATTTTGTGTATTGATTTTTTTTATAGGACCGCTCTATATATTTTTTTTTATATGGGGGGTCCAGCTTGCCATTAAGCTAGCCCCCCCCCCCTATTTTTTACGCGATTTCCTGCTAAACGGTTGGAGCAACAAAATTCGGATTAGAGCAACTAATTAGCAACAAAATAGCACTAAATTTTTGACTAGGTCCGAATAATTTGCGATGGTGGGGGGTCCAGCTTAATAGGGGTGATACCTTCTTCAGGACACTTTAAGAACAGCCTCAGTTCAGGCTCAGGATGTCCTCGGAACAGCCTCAGGATATCCTAGGGACGTTCTTGCGGGATAATGTAAAATTTCCACGGGATTATAGATATTGTGTGTATGTACAGAAATTCGATAAATTCTGTGTAATTTTTTAACATAATGATTTAAAATTTGTAATCAGACTAACGACATTATAAATTTTTGGAATTTGCAATTTATCGAATAATGTATAGCTATTATATCATATATACACTGCTCAAAAAAATTATGGCATAGAAAAATTTTGAGCAAAAATTGGTCAACTTTGGTTAACGGTAACTCCGCGAAAAATCATCGTAAAATGATGAACTTTTTTGCAAATGAAAGCTTGAAATCTCTACTTTAAGATACTGTGAGTCGATTTTTAATTTAATGCACCCCTGTTGCTGTAAACTCTTAAATCTGAGAGCATGTTTGCCACACTGAAAATTGCAAAGTTTGAACGAGTGTACGGACTTGCTAAAATTTTTTCCGGGGAT